GAGGATCCAACTAACGGTGAGTTGTGTTTCCTAGTATTCTTCCGAACAGAATCGCCCGCCCGCTCACCCACCCCAACCTTCCTGATTGGAATACCGCGTAAGATCTAAATTAAAGTAAAAGCATCATACAAACACGCACACAGACACACAAAGAAAATGTTTCTCAATCTTCAGGTTCACCATGCTCTCTGTAATCCCTTGGGAATACATCTTCTGCACACAAAGTGCATTCTAATGCCGTATCGGGTTTGATAAAAATAACGCCGAAAATGCCATTTCAGGTGACGAGGGATATTCTCAATCCAGAAGCCCAAATCGGTGAGCTATTAATGACGATGTCAGTTTCTGACTGCCATAAAATGCATATATCTCGCAACATCTGAGGTGTTTTCGGATACTTTAAAAGCACTTTTAACTTTCGAAATCTGAAAAAGTATCATGTAAGATCCCAACGCACATTACAAGATAACTACTAGAAGTACGTGGTCTTAAACCAAACCCGACGGTTGCTCCAAACATTCGAATACCGTCGCAGTTTAGCCTGCCTTTCCACGGTTCCAATACAAACTCTTTTAGCAAAACATGCGGTTCTCGGGTAAATGTATGTAAGGTTGTTGCCCACAAGTTGTTTAGATTTAAGTTTCTTTGTTCGTTTTAACTCCACTAACAGATCCTTTATTCACAGATCTTTGTTTGTCGAAGTTCAAAATGAGCATTTTGAGGATGAGCGAAGAACGGTTTTAATATGAATATTTTCAAACCTCCTTTTTATTATCAAATACTACTCTTTTGATACGCTTAGTTGTTCGATAATCATTACGATACACTGGACTATTGTCCGCATTAACTTAATCAAACAATATGTCGACCAGATTGTTAACTGCAAACAAAATTGATTCGAACAATACAACGAATTCCGTGGAAAATAAATGTGATAACAGCTTCGATACACAGTGCTTCTTGGACGTTTAACTAATGATAGTTGATCATTGACTTCCTCATTTGATTATCTCATTAAAGATCATCTTAAAGATTGTGGTTTTGTAAATACGATGAAGAACCCGGACGCCACAATTTTTAGGCGCTTTACAACAGAAACGTGACGGACAAAGAGAGGAGCAATCAGATTATGTCTTCGGAATGCCACAAGGGCTATGTGTCCATTTAAAATGCAAGTAATTATCAAAATGACACAAGCATCTCTTTTTGATCTCACTGCACCTCATATGCCGTGAGTAAGATCTATCTAACGGAAATGAATTCGCTGTTCTAGCTTTGTGGCTTAGAATGATGTGCACTACATCGTACGTGCTAACACTCACTGGAGGTCGACAAAGTGTCGTTGCTGCACATAGTAACAGAACAAAAAACAGCCGCAAATGTTTCACCGAATCATAAAACGAGCAGATTAATTCTTCCTTGTTGTTCCTTTACTCCATACCCTGTTTCCATTTTTTCATCCACTTTGCGCTTTCTTTGGAACGAGCTAGGTTGCGTGCACTGAAAGTTAACGTTTCAAACATCTGCGCTACCAGTTTCGATTGGCGGTCATATTCCGAAGAATTTCTAGCGAATAATATTCCAAATTGTTCTGGAGACGTGATTGACTGTAGACAAAACGGGTGGAGGGTAAAGGTTATATGCTTGTGGACAGAAAGTCCGTTTCTTGTGAGCGATTGATAATGCCTCGATGACGCGATGACGTAACAAAACCGAGGACGCGTTCGCAGGGTCAACCTTGTGACAG